AGCCGGTGGAGTAGCTGCGGCCTTGGCCAGCACGGCTCGGCCCGACTCCCCCCGGTCGATGGTCTTGTGGGCCGGGGCGGGCGCCGGTCGTCGGGGCCCGGCTGTCGGTCGCTGTCGGCACCGGGATCGCGGCTGCCTCGGTGGTGGTGGCGTCGCGAGGAACCTGGCCCGCCGTTGGGTCTCCGCGTCACCCCGCTGGATGTAGGTACCCACTCGGGGTACCGGTCGGCGGTTGCTAGTGTCGGGGCAGGTGGTCGGCCCCGACTTTTCCGACGGTCTGGTGCCATCGGGTCCGGTCGTCGGTCCCGGATCCTCGGCACGACCGTCGTCGTCGTCACTCATCTCCAGGTCCTGGAGGAGCTGAGCAGATACGAATCCTTCCAAGATGTCGCTCATCGTGGCTGTGCTTGTGCGCTTGGTTTGGCTCACTATCAAGCTGGCTGAGCGAATTGTCCGGTCGTTGACCGCGCGGCTCTATTTATACTCGGCTTGTGTCGGCGGCTCGGCCTCGCCGCACACATTCCACATTGCTGACGTCACGATCGGCGGTTGTGGCGTCGGCAATGTCGGTGCCGTCGGCGACGCTGGTAACGTCGGTATCGTCGGCAATGTCGGTGCCGTCGGCGGCGCTGTTGACGTCGGTACCGTCGGCAATGTCGGGCGCGTTTTTCAGATCCTGCACGTGGATGTGGCGCTGCCAACGTCCGCGGGTGTCACGGAGGTCGACGATGACCGGCGATATGATGCGTCGTACCTCCCAGGGACCGCTGTATCGAGGTGCCAGTTTTGCGTTAAAACCGGTCGATTTTTTAGAAAGGGGATGTTCCCTTTTCCATACTAGCTCCCCGATCTTGGGCCTCCAATCACGCCGGCGCAAGTTATAATGCGCCTCCTGTTTTTGAAATGCTCGAGCCATCCCGATTTTAACTACCTCGAAGGCTTCCTCTAACCGGCGTTTGATCGCCCGAGGTGCCTGGCCCTCTCTCGATCGGCGGTCGTCCGATTGTGGTAGGGCAAGCTCGCGACCGTGGTTGAGATACGCGGGCGTGTAGCCGGTGGTTTCCTGGCGTGCGGTGTTATACGCGTACTGTAACGGGAACAGGTGCTCGTCCCATCTCCGGTGATTTTTGCCCACGTACATGCTG